GTTTGTCAAGACAAACTTTAAGTTGGCTTGAGAAAGCCGGACCAGAAAGTTTGAAAAAGTTTGAAAAGTTTAAAAAGTTTAAGTAGTTTAAAAAAGTTTTAAGTTTGATGGTTTTCAGTCTGAAATAGTTTGAAGTTTAAAGTAGTTTTGATAGATAGATAGATAGATAGATAGATAGATAGATAGATAGACAGAAATAGTCAGATGATAGAAAGAAAGAAAGAAAGAAAGAAAGAGTCAGATGATAGATAGATAGATAGATAGATAGATAGATAGATAGATATTAGATAGATGAGTTTGAATGAGTTTGAATGGGTTACAAATAGTACATAGAAGGGAAGTCTGACTGAGTCTACTGGGCTTCAGTGTGTTTAGATTTGAATTAAGATAGAAATAATCAGATAGATAGATAGATAGATAGATAGAAATAATCAGATGGATGGATAGATAGATAGATAGATAGATAGAAATAGTCAGATAGATGATGGATGGATGGATGGATGGATGGATGCTCTAGGAGGAGATAGAGTTGATAATTTAGGATCAGAATAATAATAATAATAAGTTTAAATAGCATTTCAGTAAGTTGGCTTTCACAAGCCAACTTAATTATTAGTTGGTCAGAGTAGTATGAAGCGTCAAAAACCATAGTGCATGACAAAATGTCAGCTGCGGAACTCAGAGGCCGCGCCTAAAAGCAAAGCATGATTAACAAGTGACTAGCATGTTGCTAGCATGATTGGCAAGTGACTAGCATGTCGCTAGCATGATTAGCAAGTGTCTACCCTGTTGTTAGCATGACTAGCCAATGACTAGCATGTCATTTGGTGCTTAAAAACAGTCACGTGAACAAGAGTTGGAAGCGTAAGCGCCAAATCAATGTACGTGCCTTCATTAATGCAGTGCAGAAGTAGAGAGAGAAAGGAAAAACCTATGGCATTAGGTGTTAAACAGCTTGCCATAGGAATCACTCTAGATATGTGAGCTTGCCCACTCATTTGTTCTAGCTCAAAGCAGCAGCGGAGCAGCGGAGCAGAAAGACATATTATCAGCCGAACAGACTAATGCTTGGTAGCATGAAGCGCCAAGACCATAGTGCATGACCAACATCTACTCCAGGACTCCTTGAATCTGCACCTAAGAGCAGTACACAAAACAAAAGTCGGAAGCACAAGCACCAATTCAGTTGAATGTGCCTGCATTAGTGCAGCGCAGAAGTAGAGAGAGAGAGAGAGACAGATAGGAAAAACCGCCTGCTCACTCTACAGCCTGAGCCGTAATAGCATACTGTTAATACAGCTTGCCACTTAATTTTCCAGCTCACTGCAGCAGCGGAGCTGAAAGAAATAGTAATTAGTCGGGCAAACTAATGCTTGGTAGCAAGAAGCGGCAAAACCATAGTGCACGACATACATCTGCTCCAGGACTCCTCAGAGTCCGCGCCTAAAAACATTACATGAACATGAGTTGGAAGCATAAGCGCCAACTCAAATGAACGTGTCTGCATTAGTGCAGTGTCGCAAGTATAGAGAGAGATAGGAAAAACCATCTGCTCACTATGCTATAGCTTGCTAAGAATATTTTTAAATACGTGAGCTCATCCACTTATTTGTTTCAGCTCGACGCAGCAGCGGAGATGAAAGAAATAGTAATTAGTAATTAGTCGGGCAAACTTATGCTTGATAGCAAGAAGCGCCAAAACCATAGTGCACGACATAAATCTGCTGCAGGACTCCTCAGAGTCCGCGCCTAAAAACATTGCACGAACAAGAGTTGGAAGCATAAGCGCCAATTCAAATGAACATGTCTGCATTAGTGCAGCGTCGCAAGTATAGAGAGAGATAGGAAAAACCGTCTGCTCACTATGTTATAGCTTGCTAAGAATACTTTTAAATACGGTTCACAACTGAAAGAATCACATTACGAGCTTCCAAAGTAGACCATAAATATCATTGATAAAGACAACCGGGTCCACATAGCGCTCCTCGTACGCTTGAACGTATGTGGCCCGGAGAGAGCGAGAAGAAGGGAGAAAACTCCGTCGTCTCGCTCTCCATGAGCTCCGGCTCGCATGCGTCACCCCAAGTGACCGTCTCGTGCGGCGCCTCGGCAACAGCAGGAACGGGATGGCGGGGGTTAGATGCGAGGTCTCCTTTCTTTGGAGGGCCGCGAGCCTCGAGTGCAATACTTTTAGCCGCAGGCTATCACAGTGTAAACAATAGAAAGGCCGTTAAACGCCGCTTGAGCGTGTAGGCCCAAACATTGCACGCACCTGTCATGAGTGTCTTCTCCTGCGATGAACCTGTCACACGGCTCGATGCATCTCCTGTAGCACATCGTGTCCGCTGAAGAGGAGTAAACTGTTCTTTTTTTTAAAGAAAATAGCTGAGAACACGATGAAAGAACGCTTTCCTGTGGGCAACAGATAATCCGCTTCCTGAAGGAAATTAATTCTGATGAAATAGCGCGCAGCATGCTGATATGGCATACGTGACGTATGCGCGAGGCGGTGCTAAGCACTATTGGCCAATGAATAGGTGTGATGGTATAAGGGCTTCAGACATTCGTCACACCGGAGGTGTTCCCATAGCGACCGCTGTCCCAGCATTGAAGTGAACCTATGAAAGGGAATGCCAAAGCGCAGTGCCCTTAATGCACACTAAATCCACACTATCTTGAATACCGCTCCGGACTACTTATATAAGTCATATAAGTAGTCAAGTGGTCAAGTGCAAGGACCGCAAGTGCGGGTATTTGGACAAGACATCTGTCTGCATAACGTACATGAACGCGCTGATGACGTATCCTGTCTGCACAAACAGGGTGCGCAGAGGTATGCAAATACATAATGTTGACAGGCAGGTAGGAAAGTCAATCAACATTGGACGAACATTTCTTGGTCCTACGCCTTCCACAGAATATATAAATACATTTAGACCACTTAACTTAAATCAGACTTAACTATCGGGATGTGAAAAGACTTAACCAGCATAACAAAAAATGTTTCTGAAGACAATCACCTATTGCACCTTTAATATTCACCTTGAAGACCCTGTTTCCTCAAAAAATAGTCCATAGAAAGCTTCACAAAGACAACATCTATGAAAGAGCTAAAACTGCTAAAACTTCAATAACAAACACCAATATGTGAAAAAAATGGTGTTGTGATCATAAAACTTGGACAGCTGGATCACAGAGATGAACTTCAACATCTACCCTGGCCAAATCAGTCATCTGACTTGAATATTATCAAACCACTGTGGGCAGTTTTGGAGAGAAGAGTGAGAAGCAGATTTCCTCATTTAACATCTCTTTAACATTTGCCAGATTTTCTGATAGACAACAATCAAAGAGAGACTATTCAAAAGTTGTATGCATCTATTCTAAGAAGATTGGAAGCTGTATTAAAGGCGAATGGTGGTAAAACACCTTAATAAATAAATATTGCCTATGTTTTCCAGGTGTTCACATTATTTTATCCAACCCCTGCATATATTTAGGGTGTAATGTTCTCGGTAAAAAAACAACTCCGTACACGTGCAAATATTGAGCTCTCTTTCAAGTCTTGAGCTTTAATGGTCAAATTCACACAAAAACTATGTCAATATGCCTGTACTGGTAAGTATCCTAGCAGACATATTAGGTTGAACGTACAGTATTAGTGTAGGCCTACTGGATCTGTGCATTGTCTTAAAGTGACAGCACTTTTTTAAATGTTAATCAAACAAAAAACAAGGATCATTCACTGCTTTTGATTGAATACATTTTGTAACTTTAATAAGAATTACTCTTTTTAATTTATACAGTCACATATGCAGTGTTATTTTACATTTGATTAATTTATTCAATTTCTGTAAGTATACTTAAAAACTGTTAGACCTACCTAAAAAACCTGAAAAGCACTTTATTTTATTTGTATCTTTGCTCTATTGTATTTATTTGTGTTGTTGCTTGTAGTTAGATTATTTGTTCTTATTTTCTTTATTTTTATTTAACAGTATTTTTTCCCTAAACAAACCATAAGTTATTTGAACCGTTACACCCCTAATATTTATGTATGAGTAAGTGGTCAGGAGATTGAAAATTACCAATAATAAGAAAAATCCTATAGTCGACTACGCCACCCGGAATACACCGGGACATAACAGCCCTAAACAAAGGGACACAGGTTCGTTGCCAAAGGCAGGGTGAGCATAATAATAATAATAATAATAATAATAATAATAATAATAATAATAATAATAATAAGCACCAGGTCTCAATACATCACACGTTTTTACCAGTAACTTACAAAACAAGTACGATACAATAAGAGAAAATAAAGAGGGAGGGGGCCAGCAAAGACCCTCAGATTTCTACCCCACACTCAATACCCATGACACACACACTCGTGAAAAATCTGAAATATTAAACATGGCACTCCATGTGGACACGCAGTACAAGGTACCATGGCCAACCCCTCCCACCTAAATCCATGCACCAAACAATATAACAGACAGACCCAGATGAATTCCAGACAGAACAAAACAGAGCAGAGCAGTGCAGAAGTGCAGTCAGTTACTTGAGGTTCGTTAGGCTTCAATTAAGATCATTAGAAACCCCTGGACGTGCAATCAATCCAAGAAAACAGTACAATGCTGCAATACACATGGTCGCTCACCACACAGGATTACAGCTACTTGCAGGCCCATATCTGAACACTGGCCAACAGCCAGCACACGACAGACAGGAGGATAACCCAACTGCTAGCACTCATTCAAAGCGCCACATGTCACAAAGGGGTGGTATCACTTCCTCCTTTTATATGCACAACAGGCACTAATTGGCTAATGAAACTTACCCAACTGACCAATCACGATAAAGTACAAACCCTGATAGGTTCACCTGTTTGGGTAACGCCAGCCAATCATACTGGGTCTATCGCTCACTCTGCTACATATGCATACATTTTTTTTTTTTTGTACGGGTTTTTATTTATATTTCTATCTAAAACACCTCAGTGTCCCCTCAATCGGATCACGAGGACGAGGGGTTTGCATGTGGATACGGATCCAAAGACTCAAGCAACTGTCATAGACGGAGCTGGAAACGCGAGGAGGAAAACGACAGGTTTGTGGCTGAAGGTCATTGTCCCAGGTTGAAATTCTGAAAGTAGTAGACCAACACTGACACTGCAGCTTTAATGGGTTAGACCAAAATCTTCTGTAAAGTTGTTTTGTTGTCACACTTAAGCTTTCACCATGAAGTGCTTGCAACGCTCTTTAATGGATTCGGTTGTTTTTGCAGTCTCGTCCCCAAGAGGACCAAGACTTGCCCACGCGGAAAGGACAAGAAACGGACAGGCTCCAGCAGACATTCAGCCATGCATGGCTCCACCCTTATATTCATCCTCATTGGGGTGCTCCTGTACTTAATTATGGGGGCTCTGGTGTTCAATGCCCTGGAGGCTCCAAATGAGGAAGTCCATCATGTCGAGCTGCAAGCCGCCCGTCAGGAGTTCTTGGGCAGCTACACATGTGTAAACCCTGAGAATCTATCGTATCTGATAGATGTAAGTATTGTTGCAAGTTATGATTATTTTTATAATCGATTAGCTGGTCAATCAATTATTCAGATTTTTTTTATTTCATTTTTTTTTATTTTGTATACATTGAAAAAAAAAAAACATGCTATTCCACATCATGATAAGTGTTCTTTGTAATGGTACAAATTCTATGAGGTCTAGTAAAACCAATACAGATGTTATGAATGCATGTTATATAGATTATACGCACTAAAGGCTTTAAAATAGCCTATACATATTATATTCTAAAAGAATAAACATCTGCATGTTCACAGCAGTTTAAATCAGTACATTGTGATTTATTGTCAAACATATTGTCAATTTAAAACCAAAATTTAATGTCCAACAATAAATAGCCAACATTATTGCTATTTTTATATTAGTCAACATTATTGTGCTTCGTCTGTTCTATAAAGAATGTGAAGCCTCGCTTTTCAGGATGAGCAGAATAGACAATGGAAATGCACACATTAATTTACAGATAAAAATAAAACCATCAAATGTTTAAGTTATGCGCTCAAGCACATTAACAACACATGAAAAGGGCAACCGAGTTGAAATTACTACAGTAAAATGGCATCACTGGTGGAATTCTCCTTGCATGGTGCACTGAAAAGTTGCATAAACTTAGCCTCTTAGGGCACCTATTATGCAAAATTCACTTTTACACGTTGTTTGAACATAAATGTGTGTTGGCAGTGTGTACACAACCACCCCATAAGAGCCCCTAAAGCATCCTTTCTGTCCGATCTATGTGCCCCCGGACCGCGATTTATACCGATAGGGACTCCCTGCAACGCGATTTCTACTGAGCGGGGACCCATTTGGATTCAAATTAGTATTTTATGCAACCAGCCACTGATTAATCGAAATTCCTTTATTGATTATTTTCAGTAGATTGTTATTGATCATTCCTAGAGTAAACTAGTAGCTTTAAAGGTGCTGTATGTAATGTTTTTGACTGCACTAAAGCATAAAAATACCACAATATGTTTGCAGATATTTAGGAAACATGATAAATTCACATACTTTCTCTAAAAAACAATGCTTCAGCCAGCTATTCTACTTTGAAATGTGCATTCTGTGTCAGAATGTCTGGTTTTGTTTTGGTTTGTGTGATTCCGCCCACTGCCAATTTACCCAATAGTATTTTGACACACCAGATTGCCAGTTGGCAAAAAACACAGCGTATTACAGCCATGGAGACCAGCAAATTAACTGGGTCAGAGATCGCAGATTCTACCAGACCTAAAAATCCTCAGCATCCATCTAAAAACTTCTATGATCAGAGGCATATTAAAATGCACATAAATCAACTCAAAATCAACTTACAGTTTAAGGCTTTTAATTGACCCTTTGCAGGAGTTTAATTGACAGGCATCATAATGCAAAATCTGCCATTTTTTCTCACAAACAAACCAAACAGGAGAGTAGATTAATATCGTTGGACTTGACCTTGAAAATGGAGTGTATTGATGTATTTTTGCAGTTTTTTTACAAGATAAGCCTTCCTTCTGTTCTGATGTATTTTGTGATATAACCAGTGTTACCAAGTCTGCCATTTTTTAGCGAAATTGGGCTACTTTTATACTGAGGGTTTATACTGAGGGTTTTATTGTTAGTCAGTAGGTTGAAGCGAAGCCCCCCGTTACCTAGACCTGGCAACCCTGGTTGCCAGGTCTAGGTAACGGGGTAATTGGTAGGTAATTGGTGGTACCTTGACCACCAATTAAAAGTTTGCCAAAACGGGCCGTGTTTTCAGAGGCTGCTCTATAAGCAGCACCTACTACTGAAAAGTCCACAGGATCAGCCCTTAAAGAAGAACTCAGTGTCACCACAGCCATTGTGAAAAGTAAGATGCCCTTTGCCCAAGGCATGGTAAGTTTTCAAGCAAGCGCCAAGAAATTCATAATTATTAGAAAAACCTTAACTCTACAAAAATGACCAAATTTGAAAGCTAAGACTGTTTCATAGCACAAGTAACCTGCTCTGTCTTGTCTGTCGGTGTGTTGTTAGTGTCCTCTTTTCCCCACAATGTATTTTTCACTGTGAGAACATGATGTGTATTGTGTAGTGTGAGAGCACCGTGGCTTGTCAGACATAGCAACAGTAGCTAAGGGGGGTGGGTCTTTGCGAAGGGACAATTGCGCTAGTTCCTGTTGCGTGCCCTCAATCTGGCAACCTGGTTGAGCATCGAGTCTGAGAAGGAGGGGGCATGAGAAACAACCCTCTCCAATATTTTGAATTTGGACCACCATACCCATTTCAACCACTAGCTGTCAATATTACATACTGCACCTTTAAGAAAACTTTCATTTTACTGCCTTGCAGCATTGACTTGTATCAGTTGTCATATTAAATCAACCTGTGTTTAATATCTAATTTTTTTCCCCTATACTCCATTGTCTCTATACAGAAGGTGGTAGAGGCTATCAGTGTTGGAGTTGACCCCAACAGCAATGCCACATTCAGTACCAGTTGGGACCTGGCCAGCGCTTTCTTCTTCTGTGGCACCATTATCACCACAATCGGTATGGGACTCCCATATCACTGGCTGAACACACCTGCATGTTAAAGCCAGAGCCTGGCCTGGTCTCTGCATTCTGGGGATCATTGGCACTGTGAGATGTCTAAAAATATCTGCCATCAGATCACTGCAAGTGTTTGTCTGTGGTCTAGGTTATGGAAACATCTCTCCAAAGACACCGTGGGGTCAGTTCTTCTGTATCTGTTATACAGTGGTGGGCATTCCCTTGTTTGGATTTCTGTTGGGTGCCGTAGGAGACCGTCTGGGGACGTCACTGAGGAACGCCACTGCTAAAGTTGAAGCTCTTTTATGGGTAAAAAATTATGATGAAGACAAACATAACCTCACAAGACAATCATTAATCAACATCATTGTAGTTTTTATATAAACTGTCTTTCATGGCTCTTGCACATCAAGGTGCTGTAAACCTTTGTCACAAAGTTTAATTTCAATTCATTTCAAAGTTTCATTTCATTTTCTTCAGTTTTCTTTATCTTCTCCATTCAGAAGTGGAAGGTGAGCCCAACCATCGTGCGTGTCATCACCGCTGTGCTGTCCATCCTGCTGGGCTGTGTTCTGTTCATCTTTGTGCCAATTTTAGTCTTCCAGAAGGTTGAAGATTGGTCTTTGCTAGAATCCGCCTACTTTGTGGTCATCACCCTCACAACAGTGGGCTTTGGAGACTATGTTGCAGGTACCACTGGGTGAAATCTTGAAATGTTTCATCACTTGCAACAGTTTAATAAATAGCTTGCATTTTATTTCGAGATCAAACTGATTGAAACTGACATTTAAACCTGTAAGCATCTGTCTTGTCTCTTGTCTTCTTGCTCAAGAAGATGTTAACCCTCAGCGAAGACCTCATTTAACCTTGGCTCGTTCTTCCATTAAACGTAACATTAAAAAACAAACCACTGCAGTCATCTTGTGGTGGGCTTCGTGGTGGGACCATTTTGGTTTGGTCTTCAAATGCCAGAACTGAAACTACAAAGCGACTTGCAATGCTAAACACCTTACCAAGAAACACACTTAAAGGAATAGTTCACCCAAAAATCTGTCATCATCCACTCACCCTCATGTTGTTCCAAACGTGTATGACTTATGCTGAACACAAAACAAAAATTCTGAAGAATATTTCAGCTGTTGTACATATTATGAAAGTAAATGGATCCAGAAACATTCGGCAAAAAACGCAAAAAAAAGCACACAAAGGTAGCGTTCAATTAAAGGGATAGTTCACCCAAAAATGAAAATTCTGTCATTAATTACTCACCCTCATGTCGTTCCAAACCCGTAAGACCTTTGTTCATCTTTGGAACACAAATTAAGATATTTTTGATGAAATCCGAGAGCTTTCTGACCCCAAGTAGACAGCAATTCAACTGACATGTTCAAGGCCTAGAAAGGTAGTAAGGACATCATTAAAATAGTTAATGTGACATCAGTGGTTCAACCTTAATTTTATGAAGCTACGAGAATACTTTTTGTGTGCAAAGAAAACAAAAACAGCAACTTTATTTAACGATTTTTTTCTCTTTCTTGTCAGTCTTCGACATGTTCACAACAGTACTATAACACATGTGTGTGCATTCCTCTGCTTGTAAACAAGGTGTTCTACACCAGAACGCCGACTCCTGCATCAGCAGCACCAAACACATGTGTCGTGGTACTCTCATGAATGTGCAGCATAGACTGACACGGAAGAGAAGAAATTGTTGAATAAAGTCATTATTTTTGTTTTCTTTGCACACAAAAAGTATTCTTGTAGCTTCATAAAATTACAGTTGAACCACACACAGATCACATGTACTATTTTAATGATGTCCTTGCTACCTTTCTGGGCCTTGAACGTGTCAGTTGCGTTGCTGTCTATGAAGGGTCAGAAAGCTCTCAGATTTCATCAAAAATATATTAATTTGTGTTCCAAAGATGAACGAAGGTCTTACGGGTTTGGAACGACATGAGGGTGAGTAACTGACAAAATTTTCATTTTTGGGTGAACTATCCCTTTAACCCATACAACTTGACTGGTATATTCCAAGATATCTGTATCCAGATTATCATTTTGTATGATGAATAGATCAAAATAAGCTTTTATTCACTTGCAAATCAAATCAAAACCTTGATCAACACATATACAGACTATAACCAATATGCCGACTCAAACGTCAAATGCTGTAAAACCCTTATTGGTTCTTGTCCAAACTTTTGAGGTTTGTCTCACGATTTTTCTCTTTCTATGCATGAATGTTTTCATTTCATTTCACAGTGAATAAAGGCTTAAACTGAATTAATTTAATGCTACATTTATGCCCTTCTTGGAGCTTGAAAACTTTGGATCCCGTTGACTTTCATCATATGGACAAAAACAAATGTAACATCGAATATCTTTTGTGTTCGACAGAAGAACTAAAGTCAAACAATTTTGGAACCACATGAGGGTGAGTAAATGATGACAGAACTTTCATTTTTGGGTGAACTGTAACTTTAATTTGAATAAATTACTCTTTATGTGTTTTGTGCATTTCTTGTTGTCCATCAGGTGATAGCGGTGATGCAGGTCAAGATCATTGGTACAAGCCTCTGGTGTGGTTCTGGGTTTTGTTTGGATTGGCCTACTTTGTGTCCATTCTTTCCATGATTGGGAACTGGATCCTGGTTCTTATCAAAAAAACCCGAGCTGAGGTAGGCCAATGATTAAATTAGGATGTCTAATTAATTTTTTTATAATCAAGTGTCTTATGGAGTTTATGAATAAGGTCAGTGCCTGGTCAGACTCCCTGGTCAAACGCAACACTGCAACTCAAATGGGATTTTTAACTTCTCTCTCAATTCCCGCCCCTTCTATATTTCATGATAACCTTCCTTCCATTTTTCTTTATACCTGTAATTCATCACCACAACTCCTATTAACCTAAAATCTGTATCAAATTTCAATCATTCTGTTCATGGTGACATACAAATCTCTCCATAACTCTAAAGCCTTCTCATTTCTCCTGCCCTACTTTCTGCTCTCAGATGGAGGGGTTGAGAGCACATGCCTCAGACTTTACTCAGAACATCCAGAACATGTCTGTGGATTTCCACATGTCTGGAAAATTTGAAGATCCTTTCAAGCGCACCAGGCGAAAGCGGCGTCACAGGCGCCACAGACACAATGGCAGTCAGGGTAGAACCGGAGAGGACGGAAAAGAGGAGAATGAATCCGAATCTGGCTCCTACTCAGGTTCATCAGATGAGTCGGAAAGCAGCTCTGAGGTGACCCAGACAGAACGTGTCCCAGAGGGAGGGGGTAGTGACAAGGGCAAAGATTTAGAGAAAGAGGAAAAACTCCACACCATGCCCAAAGATCCCATCCTCTCTCAGCCCTTGGATTACTTTGGGGAAAATCTTGCATACATCGACGAGTCTTCAGATGCAGTGAGTGGGAAGATTCACCTGGACCCCCTGCTGGATGTACCAGAATCGAACCCAGCTTCTACAGACAGGCCCAAAAGGAGACGTCAAAGAAGACACTTGAGAAGGGATCAACAGAAACCCAAGACCCCCAAAACCAGTCCAAACGAACCAGAGAATAAAGCGCCAAATGGAGACATTAGGCAGAAAGATCCACCTACGCCAAAGCTGTGAGTGTCAGGGTGTTCATGGGGTTTGTCGCTCCTCAGAAAAGCCTCTTTGGAATATAGTTTTGCAACTTTGCTAGCTTTAGGATATGCTGTGCTCCACTGGGAAGGCACCTGGCATTATTCTCAGATTTTACTGGGACGAAATAAGAAACTATCCATGTGCCTAAAATGAAAGGGGGTTGCGGGAGAAGAATCAGGTGTGGTCAAATCTGGGACCCCTCAGCATGAGTGAGAACTTTTATTGGGTAATCACTCAGATAGCGGCCTGATGTGCAGGAAGGCCACGGTGATCAGACACTTAGTGCCATCTACTGGACGTTCACTGTACATGACTGGCTCACTTGTTTATGGATACACTGACCATCAATGAATGATTCATTCTGTGTCTTTCGCTTCTTTCCTAACGTCAAAATAATAAAGGAATGACACCTTGATACTAATGTTACTAATCCAACACAACTGATGTTTACTGCTTGAGTTCATCAAACTCCTGCTCCTGCTTCAAGTAAAAAAAGAGGTACTGGTAATTGCGTCTTGCGTCTACGATTTTACGCCTCACAGTTGTAATTTCACTTTTAGTAATTGTTACTTTCTCTCATGATTTCTCATTCTTGCAAATTTATATATAGCAAACGACACTTCATATCTCACAATATGAATATTTCTCATAATTGTGACTTTTAATCCTCTACAGTTGCCGCTTTTTCTTGTAAATGCGACATTATTCCCTGTAATTACGGCTTCCTATCTCACAATTGTCATATATCCTATAATTCTGACTAAATCCCTCAGTTGCTACTTTGTCTTGTAATTGGGAGTTTATTTCTTAGTATTGCAACTTAATTTTTTCAGAGCTGCAAATTTATTTATCAAAATTGTGACTTGTTCTCATAATTTGGCATGATTTCATCTTTATATCTTACAATTGACACTTTGTCTGACAATGTAACTATTTTTCATAATAGACCTAAAAAGGCCTTTAATTCTCATCATTGCAACTTTATTTCTGATAACTGCAACTTTTAATATTACACAATTGTCCCTTTATTTTGCCATGTATCACGTAATTTCGATTTTAAATCTCAGTCTTTTAATTGCTAATTTCTCGTACTTGTGACTTTACATATCACAAATGAAAGTCTTTTTTTCATAATTGCGACTTTATTTCTCTTGAGTTTTTTTTACATTTTTTTTTTTACTTTGAGGCAGAAACAGGCATTCATAATGTGTAGATTCATCTCTAACAGGTAATCTGCGTTCACACGGCTCGTGAGTGTGGTGTGTGTATTTTCCCTTAACTTATTAAGTAACTCGAGAAGTTCAACCCTGTTAGGAACTAACACATAACCACATCAGGACTCAATCGTAACAAGGTATATTGCAATTCAGCACTGCAGTCAGTCCATTACATTTATGTGGTCAAGTTACATACAAAGGAGGAAGGAAAAATGTACTTTGGTTATACAGTACAGTAATTCTTTTATTTTGTCACAGTCTGTATTTCACTGGGGTTTGATCTTCAGTGTTCATTTTAAAGAGCTGTAGGTAAAAAAAAATAATTTTACTTTGATTTGATCAGAACTGTAGTACTTTCGTAAAGTCATTACTGTCCAAAATGCTATTTAAAATAAGACTATATGTGTGTAATGTGCTCACCACACTCATAGAGCTTGTTGATCCTCTGAATGTCAATGTTAGACATTTCCTTTCTCTGTCCAATCTGCACTGAAGGGTTAGGAATTGGAGTGATGGTTTCCTTGCCATATTGTATGGCGAAGGCAGTCCTACAGATGGAGAACGAGAGTGCCGTGAGGATGTACTTTATATATCTGTACTAAAGCATGATTTCAAAAGTAATATGGGTGAAGTTTTACCTTCCATAATGCATGATAGAGCTGTAGTCATAAGGGGTATTCAGATTATTTGTGTCCTTCTTCTGAAAGTTGTATGCAGATGCTGTGCAAGGGCAAACGAGTGTTCATTGGTACTGAGGTTTTCATTACGATAAAATAAAATTATTGTTTTTTAAAACACCTCTAGTATTTGAGATTTTTCCACATTCACACGCACACATCCTCTGACCTTGTGGAATATTCTGCCAGTTGATCTGGACGTACTGGTCTCTGTCGCTCCTGGTGTGTTCGTGGTTTTAAACCGCATAAACACATTTCATTACACCAAATACACAAAATAATGTTCTTTTTAGCAACATCATATGACCCCTTTAACTTTTTTCAACGTTTTTGAAAGAAAACTCTTGAATTTATTTCATCAAACATACAATAAAATCAGCAATGTTGTGATGTATTATTACAATTTAAAATAACTGTTTTCTATTTTAAATATATTTTAAAATGTAATTTTGTTCTGTGATGGCAAAGCTGAATATTCAGCAGCATTATTCCAGTCTTTAGTGTCACATGATCATTGAGAAATCATTGTAATATGCTGATTTGCTGCTCCAGAAACATTTATTACTATTATTAATGTTGAAAACAATAGTGCTGCTTAATACTTTTGTGAAAACGGTGATACATTTTTCAGAATTCTTTGATGAACAGTAAAACAGAAATCTGTATAATATTCTAAATGCCTTTATTGTCACTTTTAATCAATTTAATGCATCCTTGCTGAATAAAAGTATTAATTTCTTAATCACATCAAAAAATCTCAGTGACCCTAAACTTTTTAATGTTATTCAGGTATATTTGTTTATGAGTATATTCATTATTTAGGTGTGGTCAGGCTCACCCTACTAGATTCTCAATGCTGATGTAGTCCACGTGATTCTTTCGCAACACAAAACGGACGCAGGTTTTTGCAGTGATGCTCTTCATTGCATTTTCAATCACTGCCTTCTCATCATCATCTATCAAAAACACACACAAAAAAAATTATGTATGTTATTGAGTTTTGATGCAGATTTACATAAAAGTGAATTTATCGTCACTCACAGAAGTCAGAAGCAATGGTGTATGGCACTTCAACCTGTCCAGATGGGGATTTTGGCCATTTGCAGTAGTCATTCAAGCATTTCATGGCATTCCTTGTTTTGGGAAAGGCCATATCTCCCTCCAGAAGCATGTCACTGATCTCTGAATTATCAAAACAAAAAGAGTCAGAATCTTTTCAATTATTTAATTGCTTAGAGAAACGTTAAAACTACTGTTAAATAATCAACTGCAAGCAAACATCATGATTAATATATCTAAATAGACATACATGTGTTTTAACTGTGAAATATCATGTACAAACTATAAACGATATAAAAAATATGACTTATAGTTAACATTTTAATTACTATTAACCTTTACCATTTTTTATAGTTTATATAAACTATGAATTATAAAGTTACAAATTAACCATTGTATTAAATATATTTAATTATTTAATTTAATTAAATTTAGTATATTTATATATTAATATAATAAGTAAAAAACATAAAAAATGCCTAACATTGTCATAGTCAAGTAGTAAAGTAGTAAATAACTATTACCTTTGTTTGCCTCCAGAATTCTTGAGAAAATATCCATATCATCACGCTTCTCAAACAGGATATCTGAACAAATAACGGCAATATTAAACCATATTTTCTATATTTTTCTGTATTTTATTGGTCTAAATGAGTGGTTCTTAATCCTGGTACTGCATGGGGACCCAAACATTAAGTTAGTGCCAGGTCATTCATGAACAATTTGTTCATTGTGTTTGTCTCATTATTGAACGACAGACTCTGAAGATAAAGTAATCATTTATTTTCCTCATAAATTATCTTTGGCTGCATTATAGTGATTTAGTATTTTGGAATATGATCAAGATTGTGTAGGTGGACGTGTTTGGGGAATGCCACTCAAATGAGTAAGAGAGATCTTCCCATAACTAGCATTTGTCGCCCGTATTTCTGACCATCACCAGAGAGCTGCAAGAATCTCTTTTATCGGGGTTAAGCCCCACTGGTCTACCTGAGCTGAAGAACACATCAGGGCTGAATAGAAACTCACCTTGATCAGTGGGCAGCACCTGTGGAAAGAGCAGATATACAGAGTGAGTGAGTGCGAGCGAGTGAAGGATGCTCAACTCTGGGAGCTGCAGCTCTTACTGTAGCAGGAAGAGCTTGAGAGAGACCTAGCAGCACAGCCGAGATGGAGAAAAGCAATACACAATCCATTTTCCCTCAGTGTGTTTCAAAACAATTTCTACCTGAGAGTGGAACTGTGAGAGAGCTGAGCTGAAGCCTTTCTTATATAGAAGATAACTGGGAGTGTCCAGCATTGGGGTTAAGGTTAAAATCAACACAGACCACTTGAAAAGATCTGAAAAGCCTCCAGCGTAAGGTTACGTCAGCCTCACCCACTATAAATAAGACTGCATTTTTGTTTGTTTTAGAATTAGACTAAAACAGCAACATTAGACATGACAACGAAATGCCCATGTCGCTCAAACAGTCTAAATAAGTGGTAAGAGTTCATTACTAAAAGGTTTGGGGTCAGTCAGATTTTTTTTTAAAGAAATAAATACTTTTATCCAGCAAGGACGAAATTAAATTGATCAAAAGTGACATATAATCATCTAATTAATTATCAAAGAATTAAGAGAAAAATTATCCTGGTTTCCACAAAAATATTAAGCAGCACAACTGTTTTCCACATTGATAATAATAAGAAATGTTTCTTGAGCATCAAATTAGCATATTAGAATGATTTCTGAAGAATGTGACACTGAAGAGTAATGGCTGCTGAAAATTCAGCTTTACCATCACATATATTACATAAACATATTATTGACCATTGTTGTAATAATTTCAACAATATTACTGTTTTACTGTATTTTTGATCAAATAAATGCAGAACATTTGCAAACCATATGACATGAAAAATCAAAGCAGTGTAGTGTAATAATATAAATGATATAATAAAATCGGTAGCGTAATAATATAACATGTTTATCAGGAGTCAGTTAATGCTCATCAGAGTCTCTGAGAATTATTACTTCATTTACATTGCTCGCATTTACATATAAACGCTAGTTAATCTACACAGAATGTTTCAAAACCAATATGCAGATTATATACAGCTAAAATAATAGATACAGACAAATTTACTAAACAGAAACTGTTTGTGTGCCATTCAATGTGTGCAACTTGCACAGTTATCTTTTATTTTTCAAACAAAAGTTATAGTTCACACCATCAGTTAATACTGCTGCATAAAAGACTTTAAAAGACCATGTTGATAAATTGGTTTATAATGCATGTTCGTCATCTTTTTATAGGATTATTTTGATCATCTTTTACCTTAACGTGGCCTCTGAAATGAATACACGCTGCGCTTTTGTGGACAGAGAGAAACAGAACATGAAACAGGTGTGTCATTCAAAACGAACAATCAAACAAAAAACTTGCATTATGAATGGCAGCTGAAACATCTTGAGATACTGTGAAGGAAACAAATGTAATCTGACTCAGAGGGTGAGGCTGCCATAATCCTGTGCTGAAAGCTTACCTTAAAACCCTGGGAAGTGCTGAAATAAGACTTCACTGCAAATAACTTTGTTAAAACTGTAGTCCCCATTCACTTTAACTAGACATATTTTTAATTTATTTATTTATTTTTTTATTATTAAAAACGATTCTTCCTTTGTGCACAAAACCTCACTGAACTGTAGAGGAAACCATCAGTCCCATTCCTGAACCCTCAGAAACAGTCAGACAGTCTACCATTTAAACTCTATAAATATTGTCATTATGATGTTCTGGCTTTTAAATTTGCAGAGGGAGAATTAAAGTGACTTTACTATTGTATTTTGACGAACAGCAACAGAAATGGGGCTGTTATAAAATTCCTCTTACCTGCAATAAATCCAAGAATAAACACAAACATGAAGTAGGCTATGCTATTAGGCTATCTGACATCATAAATATTTCAATCACCTAAAGTTGCACCATGAAAATTACAAAATAATTTGACAACCTTGTGATAAACAAATGAAAATGTGTAACACCACGAGTTTTTCACTCGTTATTGCGTTATGCTTTGCATTTTGTGTTTCTCACTGATTATCTTGGCATCACTGCACACTGTTATCGCATCGTTGCTTCACTATAGGAGCTTAAACTGGGCCACATGCTCGGATGTCACAACTTTCGTGGACGGAAACATATGACCTTGTGCTCGAGGACACTCTGTACAAAGACGTCACTAGTCGGCAGACTGGCACAATCCACTTATCGGCAGCATAATTACATCACCGCGAGATGGCGCTGCGGTGCGTCTGGTGCGTCCACTGTGATGCAATTACACCATTGTTTTTTTTTTTTTTTTTTTTTTTTAAGTATTTCATTATAGGCCACTTTAATCTATACTAAACGAATATGAAAAATGTTTTGTGTTGAATTCAAATCGAGATGGGTTTGTAATCACAAACAGATTATATCACAGTAGCCTATACACGTGCCATCATAAAGTTATGTAGCCTATTATAAATGACATTCTTTTATGACTCACTTCATACCTACAACCCTTGTTCCCATAAATAGACTACAACTGCAAAAGGTTATTTATTAATTACCTCAAGTAAGTTCCTCTCATGTTTAAAATAACCGGTTTTATCAGTATCTGTGGGAATTAAGCCAGCGCATTGTTTGCCCGAGATGAATTAGGCTAATGGTTTATTTGCAGTCCCCTAGTCTGATAGGACACATGAATTTGTGTGCGTTTCATTGGGAGTTTGCTCAAAAGAGAAAGGTGTCGTGTATACGTTGTTTAACATGAGAATGATTCAGTGTCTTCTTACTGCATAGCCTTCACCTCCCAGCTGTTGTCTTTTTGAGGCTATTAGTGTTTGTGGAGTTGTTCCCACCTGTTTCTGGGGTCATGACCTCTATCAGCATTCCAGAGCACCGAGGTGTGACCTTTTGTGGTAGAGCCATAAACCAAATTTACACAAAAGCCTCCGTCGGAAAAGATCTCATGATGCTCTTTAAAAGAAGTCAAACATCTACCAAACCGTGACAGAACCGTTCAAATGAGGGCATGTGAGGAAACGTGCCGTAAAGGAACTCTGTGTGAAGGGCATTAGACAGAATGCAGCTCGGCTGAAATGCAGCGTAGGCTGCGTCGGGGATGACCTTGAATTCAAGGTCGCGTGCGTTCGCAATGACAACGGGAACACTAGCGCTTCCTGTTTCTTTTTTAATCCTTTTTCATGCAGCATGCCCTTGCTTCCACACAAGCCCAGCACTCGTGCATGCATTTTGTTCTTATTAGTGTTCTTAGGAATGTCTGATTATTTTTTTATTTTTACAAAACGGACAGCAGGTTTCAGTCACGCTGTCTGACATGCATTCCTAAAATAGACCACTATAGCCTAATAATTTCCTTAACACGGGAATCTTTTCCGTTACAGCATTGCGCGGCTTTGAGACGCAACGCTCTCTTTCTCTCAGCCCTGTGCTGTGATCAGGTTACACGGAATGTAGTCTCTCCTTTCCTCTCTCCGCAGTCACTGAACTCTGTGCCGCTGGCTCGCAGCCCAAAACTGTTGTATGAACCAGCTGACTACGGGAGGCCTAGAGCAGCGAGTTGGGTCAGTCAGTGTCACAAGACCGGGCAGACTGACATTTTCCATGCCATCTAAAGCGATGCTTGATTTACAGGCCCGCCGTTTAAGCTTCTCTGGGACAAACGCATTCTGTCGCGTTACTACGGACTCGTTTTTCTTCTTAACGGGACGTATTTGGACCACACAGTCTATAGTTTAGCTTATGTCATCAGCTGATAATATAACCGGAGCTCTTCTAAAACAAGTAGTAGGCTAAAACAAAAGGCCACATGATGATATTAAAATGAGTTTTTCTGCGAACAATGAGTAATAAACATACATTACAAAAGACTTCCAGATACACGTAACACTAAAATTGCCGTAAACATGAAATAAAATGTAACATTAAGCAGCCTGGTTTACATAACAGATAACAAAATAAGAAACATACCCAAAGGTGAGTCACGCAGAAACTTCTGGGAACGTCGGTTTACGTTTTTTCACTGTAAATTATAAGATTTTTTTTACAGTATGTTTTTAACTGTGTTTACTGTAAAAATACATGTCCCATTACATATAATTTGGCTCCACATATGGAAAAGTCCGTTAACCAATTCACAGGATTTAAAGTAGAATTCGTTCATTTTAACATGAATTATTATTATTTTCCCTTATACTCATGAACATTTTTACACTGCACGTGCACGTGAATGACTTAAACCGAGTTCGTTCATAAAAGCTGTCAGAATAATTCAATTCACGGTTGGCATTAAATCGCACTTATCCTTGGAAAATGTGTCAAATGTTTTTACTGATTACGCAATACTGCGGAACAGTGAAATGCATCAACATTAGACGAGCGTTACAGTTCAGGACGAGATGCAACGTTTTTTCGCTACAGCTTTGAAAAACCCTGTGCGAAGGCCGAATTATTTTACGTAGTCACGAATCATGGCAGTTATTAAATGGCTTTGTTTTACACCACGCGCGTTACGTTTACCCCTTCACACAGTCCCCAAAATAGCTCGAGATGTAAGAAATCTGAATAAAGGCTTCGGATAATAACTCAAAAGTGTGTAAACTCGTGAGTCACACATACAGTAGGTCAATTTCTCTTTATTGTTTAAAACTCTGCTGCCTCTTGTGACGGAGGCGCGAGGACTCGTGAGCGGACGTAACGGAGAAACAGTCGACGCAAGAGCAGAGAGGGAGGAGAAAGAACGAGGATATAGCTACGTAACCGGGATCTCAGCTGTATTAGCGGAAGACAGGATCCAGGCTTCCAGTGACAACCGAAACAGCAATATGGGGAACTAGTCCAGGGAAGAGCGACTCAAACACGGATTAAACATACGCGTTTGCTCTACCGACTGCACTCGCGCCGCCATTCATTCAAAATATCGAGTAGGCCTAGTTGCATTGATTTTATGTCTAACAATTATAGCGTATTGTACTTAATACAGCACCAGAATTGTTAAGGTAGCCCCTTTAACAAATAGGCAGAGCATCTGCTCTTTAAATCGGCGTGTAGGACAAGACACAGTACTGTAATATATGTGATATGTGCATATGTAAATATCGAATTTAGTGTTTGCTCAAGAGTTTCTTTGGTTGGCTTCGAGGCACCAGGAATGCTCTCTGAAATACTGGTAAGTATTTATCCAACCGGCTCCCAGCAACGCAATGCTCCGTTATTTTGTGTGAGTGTAAACAATGTAATGCGCCTGGTGAAGCTGTCTGATAATCGTGATTCCGGTGTCATACGGTCTATCACTAGCAAATGTCCGCTGTCGCTACCAATATTTCCAATGTTACGCTCAGCAGTAAAAACTTTACACTGTAAATAGGTCAGTGTGTTCTGATAGTTTGATTGTAGGACTACTAACAGCGCCAGAACACGTTTTGGCAGATTTGATTTAGTGCCTAACATTTAAATTCGCAGACTCTAGCTTATTCGTTGCATATAAATGAGTATTATGCGCCTTTACTGCGATAAAAAGGGGGAAAAGTCCGCAGTAACACTTTGCAGCACGCTGACCTTGATCGAGTTGTCCCCTAGCAGCTCATACACTGTATCAGCGCGTAAGATTTTACCTCGGACTCTTGTACTCGAGTTATGTCGCATTTCCAGGACAGCCCTTCAGTCTGGGAACAAACTAAATCAGGCGCGACACATCTGCTTTGCATTCTTGTATTTGAGGCATTTCACGGCGTCACTGTCGTCGTGCATAATGCAGTTGGTACAAGAAGGTAGTAATTTCATTTGGCTATTATAAATCTGTGCACACTTTGAAGTAGAAAGTGACAGCGGTTATGTTGTCAAATGTAATCAAAAGCCGTACTTAACGATTCACGTACTAAATCGTTTACCTCATTAAAAAGTTTAACACACAAAGATTAAAAAACAAGTTTAAAATGACGTAGCCTACTCTGACAAGAAATAGACTCCAGTCATGTCAATAAAAGCCGATTGTTTTACATGGATTCAGTTGCCTTCATGGGGCAGACATGTTAAGATCACGTGACGTGACTAGCCTTAAATTAATTAGGGTTTATTGCAAAGTTGATTGCATTTCTAGTAACTGAAATCTGTGTGATTCTGCATCCTGCCACTAGTTGTCAGTATAAATTCCACGGTATACTTTTTACGCTACTTCGGCACAGTCGAACATATATACAAGTATGCATTCGAAAAGTATACTGAAAATTGCAAACACAAGCGGTGGACATATGCACTAAAAATTTCATCCTCGTCCAGTTTTTGTACTGAGCGGTTAGAAAAAACTTGCTGCACATATACAGTACACACATATTGTGCTGATGACAAAATTTGTATCACGCATATGCCTACCCTAGCTTACATAGTATACTTTGGAAAAATTGGGCTGTACATGTACAGTATGCAGGTACTGTGCATATAACAAAATTCACACCGCATACACTAGCATGCGTGTAAAAACAGAAAAAAATTTTTTGCGTCATACAGTTCTTGTAAATGTCTTTATAAATGAGTATTATTATTAATAATATAGCAAAAACTGAGAAATACATAATGGTTAGCTTTTATTTTTTAGTCAGCATTTTTAAATCACTGATAATGAAAGACAAGGTTACCGTTTTATGTTTTTTTTTTTTGTTTGGTCATGTTTAAAACTCAGTCGTAACTGGTTTCACCAGAGTTCAAAAGGTCAAGGGTGAATAGTTTTCACAAAAACTGTGTCAAGCATTATTGCAGGTATTTATTATAAAAATGGTTACATATAAGTCTATGTAGGTTACATTTGTGATTAAAAAAAGTCTTTTTCTAATGGCTGTGTATAAATAATTTATAGAAACTGTCTTTGAAGTGTTGGTGACCAGGCCACTCTTGGACGTGATTGGGTATCTCTGTTCTTAAGAAGTTGTAATCCAGTTTAGCAATTAACCTTTCAATTGTCAAGGCTCGGTGTACAAGGTCACCTTTTGAGATCTGCTCTGACGGTCTTTGCTCTACAGTTGTAATGCATGCATACTGTAGTCGAAGTTCAAAGGCTAACGTGCTACTTATCTCAGATTTCTCTGCTGAGAATCAGATTTACACAGTAAACTTTAGATTAGAAATCAGTTGATCACTGCTACTATGCTTTAATTTTACACAAAGCAGCAACTGACGACAATACGGACTACTGTGACTAGTTTAAGAATAGGACCAATGTCACCAAACACAACTAGCATTCTGAAGTAGAGCTGTTCCTAGAGTACCTCAAAAAATAAATCCGTAACAGCTGCAGCACTGAAGTCTAAAACAGCAGTTTCACTTTTGGACATTAAAAAATGTGACAAAGACATTAAGTTCTTTTAAACAACATTATTCAGTGCTGTTTGTTACACCTATACGCTTCATAGCAGGTAACTTACAAGGAGAATAGAGTTACTAAAAGATCAGATTTATTGGCGAGTATTTGGGCTGCTTCAACCTGACTTTTGTCTCAAAATATAATGTTAAATGTTAAAAAAAAGCTCTACCAACTTAGTTTATTTGCATGTTTCTCTCATTGTCACCCTTTAAAGTTATATCTGAAATCAGCTAACTGCACCAAAGTCCCTGGGATAGTTTATCAATGTACATTTAATATCTGAACAAGATACATAATACCTTTTTCTGTGATTTTTGTTAATCTTATCACAAATTATTCTTTGTTTTGCTCAGTATTGTTTTAGTATCATTAAGTTTTTTTTATTATTATTAATATTTTGGATTAGTTTTTATATTTTCCATTTTATTTTAATTTTAATTAAGGTTTTTGTAATTTTATGTTACTTGTTTTTTTTTTTTTTTTTTTTTTTTTTTTTT